TGAAATTATTATTATATAACATATTTTATAATGGACATGAGCGCTTTATTCGTTTTTCTCAGTAATTACGCATAACAAATTATAATGGCTCCATAATTACCGGAAACATTCCACAGCGATACGTATGTGAACAACCTCTACTGTTTAGTTTAGATATAAATTATTTTGTTTGTCATTGTCTGTTACGAGAATCTCAGCGTCATTGCTAACGTAATACACAGACTTTATAAGCATTACTCTAGGTATAAGCCTAATTCTTGACCGAGCAGATACATGGACTTAGAGATTCCTTCGGGAATATGTAGTACCTATGTACCTCCAAAATACTTATATATGTGTTCTCCTGTGTACTGTCTGTGTGTTGTGCATAAATCGATAAATAAAATAAATAAATAAATGGACGTGATACTGTGTTAAAGATCCACTATAGTGGGGTCAGAGCCCATTCGTCCCCTAAGATTCGCACCCTGTGCCCACTCGTCCCCTGGAACTTTTGAGGGGCCTATTCGTCCCCTGAAGAATATTTATTTTTATTCGTTCTTCTAATATAAGTACATGTATATATGTATAGTGCAGCTTGGTAGTCCTGGTACAGTCGCGCAGAAAAGGGTAAAATAAAAAAATATAGTAATTTGGTAGATATCATGTTTATTTTAAATAAGTTTAAGTTTAATAAATAACCTCTAGGCTCTAGGCATTAAGTCAGTCTTCAAAATAAGTTATCAGTTTTTGGTGTCTGGTACATTTGTAAATATTTAGCAAAATATGTGACAACTATAATATGTTTATGCAGTAAAATAAAACTGTGTAACTATTTAAATAAAATCCCAGTAATAACTGAATTTTAGATTAATTTAAATCCAGAGTACAAACAAATAACCAAATATCAATACGAATATAAGAAAAATAACTATGAATTGTTAGTACTTTGTACAGCCAAAGAGATCTACAAAATAATGCAATATCACAATAACTTTGTATAAAAGAAATGTAGGTATAAAATAAAATCGGCAGGAAGCTACGTGAGAACCGCACAGTTGTGGCCTGCCAACCATCTATATGATGGGGATGCATATGCTGTCGTGAGGGTCGATGGCGAAAAGATGCGGCAGGTATCAGGTCAAACAATTCCTCATATTACTCCCCGTGGTATAAGCGTTAGAAAATGCATAATGAAGCTACATCTCTACGCATTGCCAAAGTGTCGAGCCGGTTTGAAACATCCGGACATCCAACAATCCGAACGGCACGGTTTATATAATGTTATGAGATTTATTATTTATTACTAGCGACCCGCCCCGGCTTCGCACGGGTTCAATACGTATGCATTATATATATATATATATATATATATATATAAACCGTCCTTAAGAATCAATCTATCTATTAAAAAAAACGCATCAAAATCCGTTGCGTAGTTTTGAAGATCTAAGCATACAGACGGCGGATAGCGACTTAGTTTTATACTATGTAGTGATACTCTTACATTGCCTATTTATAAAGGTTTACATTCACCTGCTACTTTCATCTCTGCACTACAAAAGGTTGACTGGGAGACAATGCCCAAGGCATTAAGTCCACTTGTACACATTTGTTGTATTATGTTGCAAAATAAAATAAATAATAAGAGGTTTGCCATAACACCTTGATCGCTTCTATCGGTCGATGCTATGCAAAAAGCTAAACTTAAATTTTTTTGTTGACGTTAATAAGTGCCTTCCTGGGTGCTTACTCTTGAAACCAATCTCAATGTCAATGCAATTTCAATACAATAAAATTTCAAATTCAATGTCAAAACTATACAACCACAATCGTAGCTGTTAGAATATATTTAATAGCATTTAGAATACGGGATATAAATCAAAACTCAATACCATTTAGTTGATTCAATATCCACGCAATACGGATGCAATGGGCACTAGTGTTGCAACTCAAGAGTACGAAATTTCGCAATACCAATGTTGATCGATCGGAATTGGATTCAAGAATAAGCACCCTGATGTTTCATATGTCCATGGGCGACGCCGATTGCTTCCCATCAGGTGATCCGTCTGCTCGTTTAAAGGCTTATGCCATAAAACCAATTCTGTCATGGAATTTGTCTCTTTCGAGGTAGTAACAATGAAATATTGTCACATGACGTTTTAATAGTACAGTGAAACCTGATTAAGTGAGACATCAAGGGACCTGCAATGTCGTTTCAGTTATAGAGGTATTCCACTTACCCAGTGTCTCAGATATACAGGTATAAATAAATATCTGTCTCATTTACAGAGGGTTGCATTAATAGAGGTGGACTTGGAATTACGTGTGGAATTTGTGGGTAGAATAAGAATGAGTAAACAAACAATGTTATCTCAGTTACAGAGGTTTATGCATATAAAATTTACTCGCTGTCTCAGTTATAGAGGTAACTGTGATGATAAATCGAAATAACAAATCCCAGATATAGAGGTTTACCTCGTCTCACTAACAGAGGTAATTCAGTGCCAAAGTGTTGGGACCTCAGCATGAGTTCCAGTTATGGAGGTTTCTCACTTATCCAGTTCCCACTTAACCAAGTTTCACTGTATTTATAGTACCTTCAACACTAACCATTGTTATCGCATAGTCACGGGTACGTATTTCTTTGTCAAGCCGTGAAAGATCGTGAAATGGGTGGCGATAAGGAATTGTAGCTAGATTGGTTTCAGTTAGAAATGTATTCAAAGTTATTTAAATTGTTGCCTGCCTCGTTGGCCGAGTAGTCGCAAGTGCGACTCCAAGCAAAGGGTCTCGGGCTTGATTCCCGAGTCGGGGAAACCATTACTGGATTTTTTCAAAAAATCTCAGTAATAGCGCAGGGTCTGGATATGGCAATAGGCTCACCTCCTATTACATGGGACTCGTAAAGTAAATCGTGAGAAGTGTGTGTATTGTACAGTGGTATTAGGTGCCGTTATAATGCTCCTCTGTCTATCGCTTCGGGGATAAAAGGCGTGCTATTATGTTATTTTACTTAAATTGTGTGCAGTTTTATATAAGTTACGTACGTTATAGCTAAGATCTTCAATCTTGATAAATTCACATTTTATTTATAACTTGCAAGTCCCGTACACTGTCATCCACTGCTTGGTTCCTATTGATCGTAGCGTGATGTTTTAGGCTTTAGGCCTTCCTCGATAAATGGACTATCCAACAAATAAGATACTATGGTAAACCTAATCGTACGTTTTCCCCTAAAGACCGATAACGCACTTGTAATACCTCTGGTGTCTCTGGTGTCCATAGGCGGCGACGATTGCTTACCATCAGGTTATCCGTTGCTGCTCGGCTGCTCGTTTACCGGCTGATGTCATAAAAAATTCGTCTAGCTATCACATCATTTAACTCGTCGAGTACCGGTTTTGTAGACACAATTATAGAACAATAGGTTGCGGTCACCGGTGACCGCTTGGTGTTTGACAGTTTAAATAGCATTTATGGTCATGTAAACTAAACGTGTGTTTACGATTTCAGCTCAATCGGTTGAATATATCTGCTTCATAGTTGCAAGATTTCATTTCACAAATACATAGGTACTTATATATTTGTAAGTTAAATAGAAGCTTGTAAAAAGATATATTTAATTCAATCCAGTCGTTCTAGAGATTTAACTAACAGACTCAGCTTTATAATATTAAGTATTAGTAGTTGCCCGTGACTTTGTCCGCGTGGAATATGATTTTCTTTTCTAGTTTTCAAATGAAAAGTAGCCTGTTACTCCTTAGTATATCAGCTACCTGCCAATAAAAATGTTGCGAAATCGGTCCAGCCATTCCAGAGATAGAGAGAGCCGGTACAAACAGACAGACAGACAAAAATACAGTTATAAAAAAACAATTTTAATATTATTTAGACTGCCTCGTTGGCCGAGTGGTCGCAAGTACGACTGCCGGGCAAGGGGTCTCGGGTTCGATTCCCGGGTCGGGCAAAGTATTACTGGGTTTTTAAAAATCTCAGTAGTAGCACGGAGTCTGGAAATGTGCCCGGTATATGGCAATAGGCTCACCCCCTATTACATGGGACTCTTAACATAAATAGTGAAAAGTGGGTGTTACATTGTACAGTGGCATTAAGTGCCGTATGTGCACCTCTGCCTACCCCTTCGGGGATAAAAAGGCGTGATGTTATGTTATGTTATGTAATTTTAATATTAAAAACTCTAATTTTATTTATCTGTACGAATAGATATCTACTACCTAACCAGCTCCCAATCAGTTTAGGCACAGTCTAAACGATCGTCGTAACATCTAAATCGAACCGTGAAACTAATATTCAATAGATAAAACCAACGAGACAAAATCTTTAATATCAAGTCTATTTGTAAGCATTAAGGGGTCTTGTGCAAACAATCTTTGCTGTCTCCCATCAGACCCCTATAATCCAAGTGAACGTTTTGCCAATATCGATATTGGAATAGACGGCGTATTAGGTAGCAAGTAGTGGAATGGAAACAATATTTTTTTGCCTTATATAGGTACTAGCTTCTGCTCGGAACTTCGTACACGCAATCCCCTTTTTTCCCGGTCCCGTACGATTTTCAAGAAAATTCTTTGATAAAAGATCCCTATTTTCGTCTCCTGGTTCTAAGCTACTCTCCACCAATTTTCAGCCAAGTCGTTATAGCTGTTATTGAGTTATAGACTTATAGTATAACTAACACGACTTTCTTTTGTATATACAGATTTTTGGTTACTTTGGGAAATAGTTGCAAGTATAACTCTTGAGTAAAGTTGTGTTAGGTTGGATTTTTGAGTCGGATTTGTGTTTTTGGGTTTAGGTATATTTTTTTTAAATATGGGTGTGCCGTAGTGTCTTCCTTTCTACTTTAAACCCAATTGAATAATAGAAAAGACTGATTAACTAATCAAATTCAGTGGCTATTTCTACTTTTATGTAAGTACAAGATAAAGTTGCGTCATTGCGTGCAACACTTAGATATAACTTTAGTTGAGAATAAGAAAATAAAACATCGAAAATATTTTTCTAGTGTTCAGTAGGTATTTAATGATACTAAAAAATATGTATTCTATTTTTAATCACATTTTCTGATTACCTAAAGTATACTAACGCGTTGAACATTTCTGAAACATCAGATGCGGCAAATTATCGCATCTGAAATTCTATCCACATTATCTTTTTTGTTTTTAAATCATTATCACAATTATAACTAAGTATGCATAAAACACAAATGAGCCATAAAACTGTTATAAATATAAACATAACTGAAAAATCTAGAGACAAAATTGTAAAACAGAAACTTAACAATGGGGTCATTTTGAGGTCAAAACTTTGCTGACGGGGGTCATTCGGAGTATAAAAACTAAAGTATTGAAAGATTAATGGCCATTTCACCAACCAACTCTTTAACTAAGAGTTACTTAACGTAAAGGAAACACCTAAACCAACTATAGGTGTTATTTATAAGTTGGCCAACGCCAAAATATTACCTTTCCTAGCTAGTATTTAATTTAGAAGTTGGTGAGAATGGACATTAGACCCCTTTTAGCTTACGAAGCGAACATAATGTGTGATTTAGTTCCATGTTGATAGCACTTGAAGATTTCATAAACTGTCTCCACGGCATCTTTTCCAGTCTTAGATTTGCAGGAGTCCAGTAGCTTTTCTGCCTCAGCTTTGTCAACACCAGATGGTAATTTCGCAATGGCTACATCTCTATTTAATTTGCCGTCTTCACCGACAATGCCCACTTTTTTGAAGAAACAGTAAGTGAATTCTTTGAATGCTGGGTCATCACCAAGGTTGCCTTTCTTCGCTTCAGCTAGGACATCGGATTTAACGCCGGATTCCTTGATGCATTCACTCGCGATTTTGTTGCCTTTTTCCTGGAATAGAGTGGTATGTTTTAGTTTCAGGGTTGATGTCATCGGTGAGGGATGAGTCATCCCTGTTGGATAAATTTTTTAAGAAGTAAAGAAAGAAAGATAAACATTTACAAGTAGACAAATAAATAAACAGATTATTTAAACTGTCAAACACCAAGCGGTCACCGGTGACCGCAACCTATTGTTCTATAATTGTGTCTACAAAACCGGTACTCGACGAGTTAATTTAAGTATAGATCGATGGAAAGCAAGACGGTACATAAATATAGAAAATATAATTATGCGATTGTGATATTATAATGGATCCGATCACTACAATTAACCACATCCATAATTATTACTAAAAGAATAAATTACATAATAATTAGCTATTATCTATTTATATCTATTTCGACGGCTCTACGAAATCAGCCCACCAACAAGATGGGAGAGCCGACCTGACACAGCAGAAGGCACCCGTTCAGGAGTATGACGTGTGTGTCAGCAATTGGTCCGGTCAATATTAAACCTTAACCCAACACACAGTGCCACCGACTGTAGGTCGATCTGTCAATTCCGTATTTTGGCAACATTTCCTAAGTAATAAAATGGAGTTTTGAATACTACATATCGAGGGGTAACGGACATTTTGGGCGATTTTGAGTTATTATATCGAGGGGTAACGGACTATTTGGTTTAAGCGACATTTTGGGCGTTATTTAGTTATATGTATATTCGGAATCAGCGAATTTTTCTCCGTCGAATATATATAATAACTCAATATCGCCCAAAATGTCGCTTAAACCAAATAGCCCGTTACCCCTCGATATATTCGACATTATATATTCGACGGAGAAAAAATCTCAATATCACCCAAAATGTCGCTTAAACCGTCCGTTACCCCTCGATATAATATAGGTCTCTGCCTACTCTGTATGCGGTTAAAATGGGAGCTAAGTATGGAGTAGTCTTAAGCGGTAACGGCACGTAAACCTGTGAAGTGTCGTAACGCAGATTTACGCGAGTTTCAATGGGTTTTCTATTGTGTCTTATATATTAACAGACAAGGGGGTAATGAACATATTATTATACATAAAAGTGATACAGCCTCTAAGCCTCTGCCTACACAAACACCAATTAACAGCCCGTGGCATTCCACTGCACTATGAAACTCCTCTATATAAGAAGGTATGTCATAATCCAAGTCTAAAGTCAAAGTCAAAATCATTTATTTCAATTAGACCAGAAAGGCACTTTTGAACGTCAACAATAAAATTAAAAGTGAAGCTATTTGCTCATTCCAAGGTGTAGATTCCTATGGAGAAGAATCAAGAAGTATCAGGTTTATCAGAAAGCGTTACCAGCCGGTCTCCATCAATTGTGTAGTAATGTAGATAGGACGATTTTTCAGTAAATTTTAACAGAAGAATAACTTTGATCATTTGACAATTGGGTACTTGCCTTAATCTATACTTCTATACTAATATTATAAAGAGGAAAGATTTGTACCTATTTTTGTATGTTAGTAATGAATAGGCTCAAAAAGTACTGGGCCGATTTAAAAAATTCTTTCACCAATAGAATGCTACATTCTTCCAATTTGACATAGGCTACATTTCATTTTGAAAAAAATTAGGGATCCTTTGTAAAATTTGAACAATGTAACCGAAGGTGTAGACAAATGAGTCTTAAAATGTCTTTCGTCGAATGCGCTGCCGAAACTATTAGCGATAAAACAAAATAATTTACAACAATATTGAGGAACATCATAATATCTACAAAAAACTCCACGGTAGCATATGTCAAACTATTGTAGTTATGTCACTGCAACGATCCAAATTTCCAAAAATAAATAATTGTCTACCCCGTGCGAAGCCGGGACGGGCTGCTAGTCAAAAATAAATTATTTCCACTGTCCAATAAAATAAAATATTACAAAATAATCACTCTTTTATTAATTGATTTTAACACCAACTTAATTAGCATTTTTCCAGCAATATTTTACGAAATAAGTATGCTGTTTAACCTCGTCAAATCTAGTCTACATTATCTCACTAATATTGTAATTGCCTGCCTCGTTGGCCGAGTGGTCGCAAGTGCTACTGTCGTGCAAGGGGTCTCGGGCTCGATTACTGGGTCGGCCAAAGTAAAACTAGGTTTCTCAAAAAAAAATCTTAGTAGTTGCACGAAGTCTGGAATTGTGCCCGGTATATGGCAACAGGCACACCCCCTATTACATAGGACTCATAACATAAATAGTGAAAAATGGGTGTTACATTCTACAGTGGCATTAAGTGCCGTAATGTCCATACCCCCTTGGAGGATAAAAGGCGTTATGTTATATTATGTCTTTTATAAATGCGATAGTTTCTGAATTTGTCTCGTTTCTCACTCAGTTACGTCAAAACCACTAAAGGGATCGGCGTGAAATTTGGAACGAGTGTAACAAGTGAATTTATTTCTGCAAATAGGCTACAAGCCAGCACTTTTTCACGTAAATTTTATCAAGCGAACGATGAGGCCGACATTTCCTAACTGACTACTCTGAGAAGAAATGCCGAAACAAACTCAGAGGTCTGTCTCTTTTAAAGTCCAGACAAATATATATAAAAGATTATGTGTGAGAACCGTGCAAGTTCTTTCTGTATTGGCGTTTTGAGGAAAGAACCACAACAGTTTGAGCGGACCCGTTCTGAAGGCAGTACGCATGTGTCGGTTTACAATCAGCTCAATTAATAGGTGGGGCTGACTGATCCGACGAACAATACCAACCTAAAGAACATTTGGGTGGGTCGCACAAATACTCAAACTGTCAGAATATGGGTAATGAGAAAAGAAATGGCGGGTCAAGGTCTCGCACGGTCCTTGCACTAACAATTTTAAAAATGAAAATAAAATAGAACAGGGGTAGACTATGGTCAGAAACGTCTTACGTCAAAAAGTCTTCTTTCAAGTACTTTTTGTCTCAACAAGAAGACACTAACAGAAGCTAGTGATAAAAAGATACTCACGGTAGCGCAAACCCCAACCACGAACACGATACAGAATACAACAAACGATTTCATCTTGTCTAAGCACAGAGTATACTGTTCCACAATTAAATGCCACGACACTTATATACAGAAGTTCAAACTATATAAACATATATATATAAATATATACTTATGTCAAAGTTGCTCACGAGTTGATCTTGAACAAAAAACTGGTTGGTTTGAACTAGGTAAGACTTTGGGTTCTGTACTATTTAAGTTGTTTCGAGTTCGACTAATAAAATCTAAGTGTTTGGTTAGAAATTCAATGTTTTTTTTTGCGAATTTTTACTCCAGACGGAGTAGACATGTAAATCAAGATTGTAATGTCCCATCAAGAGCTACTCGTGGCTACTCTAGTGCTGCGGGTGAGCGGCGCTGATTGCTTACCATCAGGTGATCCGTCTGCTCGTTTGCTTCATATTCCATAAAAAAATTTCACTTTTCAACAGTTACAGTAGAGTTACAAGGGCATACACTTTTCCTAGGCTCATGATGTCCACTTATAAAGGAGCAGACGAATCACCTGATGGTAATTAATCGGCGTCGCCCATGGACATCCGAAACACCAGACCAAGTGTTACAAGTGCGTTACCAGCCTGTTGGGGATTAGGAATTTGACGATCGTTAGACATTCGGCGATTACGGAGGTTAGGGAGGGGGTAATTAGGCCTCCGGCAACCTCACTCACACGACGAAACACAACGCAAGCGTTGTTTCACGTCAGTTTTCTGCTCGGCCGTGGTATCAGTCCAGTCGAGCCGACCCATACGTACCGAAGCATGGCTCTCCCACACTTAAAACCTGTGAGAGTTCACCGCTAAACTGCAAAAGAGAGGTCTGTCATCTCCAAGTATGACAAGCAATCAGTTTAAAAGATTCACATGAGAATGGGTCTGGCCTAACCACCAAAGAGGGTTTCCCTTAATCTTCACGCTTGTCAGGCGAGTAAAAGATCGCAGTTCAAAACGTTCAGGTTTATCAGAGAGCGCTGCCGTGCGCGGGAAGAGTAGTGGTGGTGTTACAAATGTATTTTACTCTATCCTCACGACACGGTCAAATGGATGATTATAGATTGATTTTATCTGCCATAGCAACAGGATCGCCAAACAAACAACGGAACTCTAAAAATTTCATAAAAAAAATAGTCCAGTTTTTGTTTTTTATTTCCAAATTCTGAATAGTCATAAGGAAAAAGTTCATTAGCAATATACATGGCCACATTTCGGACTATACATAACCAATTTACTATGATCTCCCTTGATTACTATCTTCCGCGTATTCAACGATCATTTTAAACTGGTAACTCATAACCATCTATCATGGTCCCGCTTTGTGTGATTCTTTTCCACATTCGACAGTCTATTTATACTGGTTTTGCGTAGCTTTATGTGTACGTACCTATGTATGTCTATTTTGTCGTATAAAGTTCTTCGACTCCATTTTAAGATGTGTTTACACTGATTTGTTTGTTCGCTCATATAACTAGCTTTTGCCTGTAGATCAGCTTCAGTTTTTATGTATTTTGGAAAATGTATTCATGTCATTAACATAACAAAACATCACACACATTCTAATCCCCAGAAATGGTAGTCAGAACTGTAATTGGTGGAACTGTGGGGACATAGGTACACGTATTCTGAACTGACAATTTTTTATATATATATATATATTTGATGTGCCGACGTTAGACCAGTATCTCGCCTGGTGGTAAGCGATGATGCGGTCTACGATGGAGCACGTCGTCTCATAAGCAACCTATTCACTCAGGCCTTGAAGACACCCAGATTATACCCTTTTTTAACTCGTCGAGTACCGTCATTATAGAACAATAGGTTGCGGTCACCGGTGACCGCTTGGTGTTTGACAGTTTAAAAAACCAAAGCATTGTACTAATTCTTGTCTCGACCCAATATGTGACCTGAGAATCCTTGCTGGGGAAGTCAGGATTGACAATCTTGTGACAACAAATCAACCTAAATATAACCTGATTCAAATTAACTGCGATTTAGATGTAAAAGCGTAACAGACAACCTAAAAAAGAAACATGAATTCCTTTCTAGTTGTTCAGAATTCCCAAGTAAACAACAGCTTTGTACTAACCCAGTAGGGCTGATGCCCGATACGGAGCCGCGAAGGGGCCAAACAAGTTGCCAGGGCTCCGGCTCGAAGAGCAGGAGTAGGAACAGGATGGTTTTTAGCCAGTAAGAGTCTGACACTCCTTCCCGCCTCACCCAGGTGGGAGAAGCCATTGGATGATATTTCCCCTCAAAAAAATTTACAAAATACGAAATAATCAGATGACCCTTCTGCTCTTTGACTAAAAAACAAATAAATATTTTGTAATCAATATAAAACCCTCTTTAGTTTTTAATTTCTATTATCTATTCGCTAATTTCAACTAATAATATTATTGATCTATCTAAAGAATCAAATTACGTAAGAGTCTAGCAAAAAACACCGGCAGCTGATTCGTTGCCGGAGGCTAATTTTAATAGTTCAATACACTAGACACTGCAACGTGGTTGTCATAAGAACTGTGACACGCATTTTTTTAAGGGATAGATAGACAGACAGGGATAGACATCACCTGATGATCAACCTCCCAAAACCGCTTTAACTTCTGTAATACAGTACATACAATCATGAAAACACCGGAACACTGAAGTCCGGCGCGTCCCAGGGACATGAATAACTGTCTTGGTTCCTGCAACGAAGTGAATTTTAAAGTGTGGGAGGAACATGCTTCGGCACGAATGGGCCGGCTTGACCGGAGTGATACCACGGCCTCACAGAAGACCGACGTGAAACAACGTTGTGTTGTGTTTCGTCGTGTGAATGAGGTTACCGGAGGCCCAATTACCCCCCTCCCCTTTCCCCAATCTCTGATTCCCTAACAATCCTAAAATTCCTAATCCAGAAGGCCGGTAACGCACTTGTAACGCCTCTGGTGTTCCAGGTGTCCATGGGAGACGCCGATTGCTTACCATCAGGTGATCCGTGTGCTAGTTTACGGGCTTATCCCATAAAAAAATCAGAAGATATTATTAGAGGAGAATAAAAAAACGATAGTTTCCACTTGAATTATCGGATTATTAATAAAATGAAAGGATAGACTTACAAATTTTTAGCTTAGGTATATGAATAGTTAAATGACTTAAACAAACAAACATTTATATATATATATATACCTATATATATAGGTGATTCCCCTTCACACATAGGATATACAAGCTACAGACGATTTTACATTGAACTATACAAAACCACTATATCTTGGTCCTACTTTGTATAACCTCTCCGCACATTAAACGATCAGTTTATACTGGTTTTGTATAGCTTGATCTTTGACTTGCAAATTTTTTGTCGCAAATATTTTTATCCTTATGTTATAAGCAGAACTGCGCGCTGTTATTGAGAATTTTGCTTTATAAACAAACAAAAACTGATTGGCTTTAGTCTATATTTGTTGAATTATTTTGTCCACGCGTCATTTTTGAATGGAAAATTCTTAGTAAGTGCAGAATAAGAAAGTGTTCATTTGTTTGTTTTTACACCCGAATTAGTTAGGCTAGTTATTTTTAAATTGTACTTAAATATCGTGCCGTCTCTGTCATTTTATACAGAATTTGTAGAGACAAAACTATAGGTACAGGAAAATCATCGTATGACCTTTCCCGCCTGGGTGAGGCGGGAGGGAGTGTCAGACTCTTACTGACTAAAAACCACCCCGTTCCTACTCCTGCACTTCGAGCCGAAGCCTCGGTAACCCGTTATTTAATTTAGTTAGGCATCAGCCCTATTGGGCCCCCTCCGTGGTGGCCTGATGGCTCTTTGAGGCGCGCGCGGGATGCGACGCGCCGAACTGGTTCTGGTCGGCCGGCGAGCCACCCATGCTTCCCGACCGGCGATCGTCCCGCGATCCCCGGCGCCCGGATTGTCCTTCGCGACATTCATGTGACCCGCCTCCTTCTTAGCTATCATGACTGCAAAAGGAAGAGACGGCATCCCAGTCCCCCTCGCTCCGCATCATGACCCGCACTAGGGCGGGACGCGAGAGGTCGCCGTCGCTGATCATGTCCCTGAGGGCACGGCGGTGCTTAGCCCACGCAGGGCATTCCCTCACTGTGTGTTTCACCATGTTCACGGGGCGGTCCTTGCAGTGATGACACCCGGGCGTTACCTCCCGCCCCATCAGACACAAGTACCTCCCGAAACTCCCATGTCCGATGAGCACCTGTGTCAGGCGGTAGGTGAGGACGTCGTATCGTCTCTCAAGCCAGTCCTCAAAGAGGGGACTTATCGCTGCATTGGAAGCGAGATACTTAAGCGCGACTTAGAATTGAGTGGCGTTAGAGTATTTTGACATTAGATATTCGTTTAGCTTTGAACCTTTGAACAAGAGTGTGGTCTTTGTCATGGTGTTGTCACTGTACCTACATACTTCAGCAAAGGTGACTCTTTTGCGGAGAGGGGGATCATCCAATGACTTTGTCCACCTTGGGTGAGACGAGAGGGAATGTCAGACTCTTACTGACTGAACACCACTACTTCGTTCCTACTCTTTCCTCGAGCCGGAGCCACGGTAATCCGCTAGGTTATCCGCACCTCTTTACTTGATTACCTAAGCAGTTGAAAACTGCTCGACTGACAATTTTTTATAAATGTTGCCCCAGAAAGCATTGTGTTGCAAAGACACCTACTTGCGGCAATTGCGCCGAAGCGCACGAAAGCGACAACTGCCCACGTGTAAAAGGAAACTAATTTTATTCCAACTTGCGTTTCGTGTAAACGTTTTAAGAAACCTCACGAGCACCGTTGCGGGTCGCCAGAGTGTGGTACTTATAAAGCCAAACTAGAACAACTTATTCTGAATACAACTTATTAAATAATAGTATGGATAAGCTAACCATAGGGCAGTTGAATCTCCATAACGATAGGATTGCGACGTCTGAGTTAGATAAATTAATTGTTGATTATCAACTTGACATAGTACTTATTCAAGAACAATATCAATATACCCACTTACGGCACAGGGTAGTGCAGCTGGATGGCAGGTCGCGGGCCGGAATT